TATATATATATGTATGTATATATATATATATATATATATATATATGCACTTTAGGTTCTGGGGTACAAAGAACATGCAGGATTGTTGATAGGTACATGCATGGCAATGTGGTTTGCTGCCTTTATCCCCATTTCTTCATTGACTTAACATTTTCTTGAATTATATTGGAGTCTATAGGTATGCCTGTCTTATAACAATCCTGCACCCAGTAGAAAGCTGCATTTTCAATATGAGATAAAAGGGTATTTCACAAAAAGTGCATGGTTTATGTCCTGCTGGCATAGCTGCAGCAAGACCTTCACAAGTTTTCTTTTTTGTTTTACATTTTTCTTGAAATCGTGGGCAAGTGCAGTTTCAGAACTTCTTGCAATGTCATGACTTGTCGCTCCTGGCTGGATGCACTTCCAGTGTCACTAGTGGCACTTTGTATGAATTCCATGGTGTTATTTAAGGTTCACAGCATTGCACAAAACATGATGAAAAATACACGAGAACCAAGAGGGATCACTTTTTACTGCTTATGCAGTTTACTGGAGGGATGATTCGCTTACACAACAATTTAAGGGCATACTTGCAATACTCCAGGTTACTGCAATAACAACAGGAGGTGGCTATAAATTTACAAAGTGTGGACTGCAGTTAACTATATGCACTTAAGATTTAATACTACCTTATTTTTTTTGCTGGGGGGAGGGAGACTGGCTCTGTCACCCAGGCTGCATGCAGCACAGTGGCTCTATCTCGGCTCACTGCAACCTCAGCCTCCAGGGTTCAAGCAGTTCTTCTGCCTCAGCCTCCCGAGTATCTGGGATTACAAGCATGTGCCACCATGCCTGGCTAACTGTTTTCTATTTTTAGTAGATAAATGGTTTCACCATGTTGCGAGACTGGTCTGAAACTCCAGACCTCACGTGATCCGCCCACCTCAGCTTCCCAAAATTCTGGAATTACAGGTGTGAGTCACCCGCACCGGACCTAATACTGCATTTTCATGCTTGTTTATGTTTCTCTTGACTGTGAATAGTGCCATGTACAGTCTATAAGTGTTTGTGTATGTAAATTTTGTTAATTTTAACTTGTTATAGATCTTTTTATAAAATAGACTAATATCTACCTATATTTTATACATTTATGAGATTCCTAACTTTCTTTTTCTGATATTCCTTGGCTTCATGCTTCATCTGTGAGTTTTGTCTAACTGCTGCAAATCTTCAAAAATTTTCCAATATATTTATTGAAAACAATCCACTTATAAGTGGACCCATGGAGTTCAAACCTGTATTGTTCAAGAGTGAACTGTATAAAAACATAAAAAGCCTAAGAAATTAAGGCTGCCTTTCCTTTTGGGCATTGTGTTGTATCCCTTACAAAATTTTTTTAGAAATGTTTTTCTTCTTTCCTTCCTTCCTTCCCTCCTTCCTTCCTTCCTTCCTTCCTTCCTTCCTTCCTTCCTTCCTTCCCTCCCTTCCTCCCTCCCTCCCTCTTTTGCTCCCCTCCCTCCCTCTCTCCCTTGTCTCCCTCCCTCTCTTCCTTCCCTCCTTCCTGTCCTCTCTCTCTTCCTCCTTTCCTTCCTTCCTCCCTCCCCCCTCCCTCCCCCTTCCTCCTCCCCCCTTTCTTCCTTTCTTCCTTCCTTCCCTCTTTCCTTCCTTTTTTCCTTCCCTCTCATTTTCTTCAAAAATTCATACTTCTTTGCGTTATAACCTCCAGTTAACATGAAATGACAGCTATCTCTTATTTTATTTATTCACTAAACAAATATGTATGGCATGACCTTATAAAATTATATTCGATATTTAAAAATATAAAGCTGGCATTTTGTTTGTTTTCATGATTTTTATGTATGTATTCTGTTTGACTTACCATTTTTTGACTTTTTACGTTATGTAGTATTATCTTATTTTTATTAAAGTTTGATTTTTGGGGGATGGATTACTAATTGTTCATTTTATTTTTGTAAGCTTAATTTTCCATATCTTTATAGGAGTTTTTGTTAGAAGCTATATAGTCTTTTTTTAATGAAGAATTACACATGTTATTTAACTTATATGTTATATCCGGGAGCTGACTCTATGTGCAAAGATTATTTTACTTCAAGTAGATATAGTTGCTCAGATGATATCTTTTAAGTTCATGGATATTGCTTTGGAAGCTGAGTGAACAAATGAGCTGCCTTCATTTCTTCCAACTTTATAGAGATAGCCCTAGCCTGAAAGTTAACATGAGATATAATATTCTGTAAAAATATTAAAGATTCTTTTAATATCAATTAGATAACTCTGAAAATGTTCTAAAATTTCTCCAGGCCAGTAAAGAAGCAGATAAGAATTGTGGTGGGCTCAAATCATAACACCATCAGTGAAGTTTCGCAGAATGTGTGTGTTTATATTTCAGCTTTGCTGCTTGCTAGCCTTTCAAGTTCTGAAATATGAATATGATATTTTTAAAATAGAAAAATAATGCTGCTTTGACTAACTCACAGGATTATTGTGAAAAATAGTTTAAAATATGCATTAAAGAACTTTGGATCTGAATATACATATTAAAAAGCACATTTCCCTGGTTTAGTGTGGGTCAAGCTCAATGAGTCTCTGCTTTATCACTTAAAACTTTAATTCATTGGATTTTCAGACCACTGAAATGTCCATTATTCACATACTCTTCATCTGGTAGCCTCAGTTCCTGAACCATTTGCAGAATGCCAACGAATCTGAAAGCCATTCTCTCTCAAAGAGTACTCTTTCTCAACAGGTCTATGTTACAAAAATTCTGTCTGAGAGGTAGACTTTTGATTCAGCCTATAGGAAGTAGCATTTCCCCAGTAAAAAGTAAGAGTCAAATTAGGCTTCTTTCATTAAAAAATATAAACAAAATATAATATTTGAAACATAATTGAAAATTTAGAAAGTTAAAAGGAAGTAAGTTAGGCTGTAGAATGAAGGGATGTTACAAAAGGTTGAAGAATAACAAGTAAAATGTATGATATTTGGTCATAACTAATTAAATAGAATAAAATTCTAAGAATAGGACAAGATTAGTTAATTTAATTGGAACTCAATGGTGCCTATTTTTATGTAATTCCAATGATATTATAAGTTTGATTATATGACTGAAATTGTTTACTTACACATTCAATGTGGTCACTGATATTTCTTTAATGCTTTAAACAGAGATATGCAGAATTCTGGTGAGTGATTTCAAAAGGGTGTCATGAATATTTAAATGTACCATATGAAGGTACTTGGTGGCCCAGTGTAGGCATAACTTTAACATGTCGTTTAGTAATGTGTTATAGGAAAATGCTATAGATCCGAGTCAACAAAGTATGGCTCCTGGGCTAAATCTCACCTGCCGCTTGTTTTTTGGTAAATGACATTTTATTAGAAAACAGCCATGCTCTTTTATGTCTGTATTGTCCACAGCTTCTTTCACACTATGACAGCACAGCTGTGTAGTTGCCACAGAGATTGGATGGCTGGAAAATCCTGAAATCTTTACTCTCTGCACCTTTAGAGAAAAAACTTGGTGACTCTTTCTAGAGATTGTTCCTTGTGTCAGAAGAAATCATGAATGACTTTAACACGAGCAAAAGATCGTTGGTGTCTTTCAATAGAATGTTGATTTTTTTTAACAGATTCTTCTGGGTTGTCTTAA